CTTTTTAAAAGTATAAGTATTATACTTAATAATTAAATTATATAAAGATATAAAACCTTTTGCCGAAACTAGCGTAGCGGGCGTTTATAGAACTTCTTCCTAAGAACTCGGCCCTATAGTAACTTTATTAGCTACTAATATAGTTAATTTATAAGTAGGCTGTAGTATAAACCTAAGCACCCTATCTAGGTTAAATAGAAATAAGCTACTTATAGCAAAGCCAGCCTTAATACTTTTGGTTATAAATGCCTTTTCTTATGCGGGGTAGAATAGGAACGTAAAATGCTCCTTACCTATTATATTTATACCTCCCTATTCTAATTATTTAACTTGCTTATAATAGGCGGCCTTTAGTAAAGCAAATATAGCAATATTATAGGGCTGAAGTTTATAAGAAGTATAAAAAGGAAGTTAACACAGAATAATATTATTTATAAAGCAATATTCTAGGATCTCTAGGGTTTTATATATGCCGAAGCTGTTACAGATTAAGATTTATAGCTTATTATTAGCTTGTTCTTTAGTCTCGGGGTTAAATATATATTAGAGCTACTGTAAGCTAATATATAAGTCGGTGTATCTAGATTTAGAGCAAGCGTACTGCTATCCAGGGGTGGGAAATATAGTCCAGTTGCTCCGGTAAGTGGTTGCTGGCCAGATAATTATGGGGTTTAAATGCCTACCGTCGCCGCTAATGCATTTAACCGCGGTAATCATCGTCCGCTTTATGCGTGCACCCCTATAGTCTCGCATATTGTTCTTACCTACCAGCACTTTTACTAAACCTAGTATTAAGAGTATAACACCAGTCTCGTCTATATTATACGTATTCTCTGCCAGAATAGCCGGATTATACAGTATCCGCCCGATTACCTTAAACTAGTGCGTGATCTTCTAGTATATATTCTTCTTGTGGCGATTCCAGTTAAGCGCCTTAACTCTCCTTGCTTATATTTCCGGATAACGCTTCTTAAAGGCCCGAGCCCAGTTCTTACTTAGTGGCTTGCGTGGTTAGTTAATCTCGGGTCGCTGGCGGGTAACGCAGAAGGCTAGAGACGGTATAAACTTAATTCGCACGGGCTGCCTAAGATCGGACATCTGTAGGAAAAACTTAACCAGCGCATCCTCCTCCTAAGGATAGAGATACTATTAACTCTAGGCTTTCTCCTCCTTTAAGCAGCGGCCATAAGCACAGGAATAAAGGGTAGAGCGAGGGACGTTGCTATAATCTGCTAAAGCACGGTAAGAAACAGGTACGCCAGATAGAAGGCCTTATAACAGCACTCGGCTTGCTTTGTCCATTATAACAATAACCTGAAGAAGCGGAGAGCGCATTAAGGCGTCTTTGCTAGGAATGAGGCCACGTTGCAGTAGCGAGGCTGAGCATCTGGTAGACGCTTCTAGAAAGCCGCCAGCATGCGCCACAGCTATTCTTAGCTGGGAGCCTGCTCCGGCATAGCGTCGAATTCGTTACGATTAAAACACAGCAACATCTGAGCACGCTACTGCAGGCTGCCTGCATGCCGAGAGACGCTAGACCATCCCGACGCGCTGGAACGCTTTTCGCGATTTCCACTCTCGACCGGCGAAACTGCCGGATTGCATACATATGAGCCTAAAGTGGCCTTTTAAACTCAGAGATTCAATCTTCGCTAATCTTGCTTTCTATTAGACCCTCCGGAATCTGGAGAAACCGTGGTAGTTGCAAACAGACAGGGGGGTATCGACGAAGGGTCGATTGACAGCGTTGACGAAACGATCAACAGCAAGGTCAACACCGCTGCAGTCCCTGCTGGAGGCTAATGCACTTTGAGAGAAATAGCTGCAGAACATTAAATCATCAACTACAGGTCCGTATGATAGTGAGTCAGAGATAGCAAAGCTCCGAAGTACGAACCTGTCCCGTTACACCGTGCGTCCCGGCACGCAGGGACGGACGTTAGATGGTAAGAACTCACTTTGCTTCACTTCCAGTGTGGCAACGTGAATACATGTTAACCTGTGTGCAGGCAATAGCATGCCCTTAGGCGGCGCTTCTTCTTCAACTAACAACTCCACATTCAATCTAACACCCCAGCCTGCAGCGGAACCGCAAAGCGCGCTAAGTCATCACAATACTACGCCTGCCAAGTCACAAACTAACACAGCTTCAAACGCTATCACCAGGAAGAGAGGTTCAAGAGCCTGTCTAAATTGCAGAGAGAAAAAAGTGAGATGTGATGCTGAACCCGGTCAACGATGCACACACTGTAGACTGAACGAAAAGAACTGCACTCCTGCGCATCCCAAAAATGGGAGGTCAGTATCCTACTTTCTCATTGATGTCTTGTATCAACACGTCGTCTAACTAGTCCTGGGGATTTTAGGAGAATGCGCTAAGCTTGGCACGTCTTGGACCACTAGTGAGCATTCCAATTTGCCCCCCGCCCATTTCTTCACCAACGCTCCGATAGCAGTCCTCCGCGCTGCGCGCACTGTAGCAGCTCCTTTAGCCGGCGATTGTCAAGCGGAAGGTTAATATCCAACCTGGGCTAGAAGAGAGATGGGGAGAAGTGTTAGATTGGAACCGTATTCTAGGAAGCTGGTGGTGCTGGGTTTGTAGGTGTGAAGGGTGAGTTAAGGAGTTAGGGGATAAGGAGCGATAGAAGAGGCCACCGGCTCGTGCACGCCATAGGCTCGTGCACGTAACCGAGCGCCACCACCACCAACTTCAAAAATTCATATCTCCATCAATTTTACACCAATTCACTCAGAAAATGGCGCCAATTGAAGAGGCCATCGAGGAGGCCATCCTCACCGAAGGAAAGAACCTCACGGCAATTGCTAAGAAGCATGGTGTTGATAGAACAACACTCTCACGGCGCTACCACGGTGTTACTGGTTCCAAAGAGGATGGCTACGACGCTCAAATGCTTGTCAATCGCGCTTAGTCTAGGGCTTTCCTGGCTTATATAAGCTACCTCACGGCCAAAGGAATACCTCCTACGCATGATGTACTTCGAAATCTGGCCTACGAAATCACAAATATATGGCCAGGAACCAACTGGTCATACCGGTGGGTCAATCGCTACAAAGATCAATTGGATGTAGGCTATCTGAAGCCCATCGATGCTGCACGGAAGAAGACCGAATCAGAACAGTACTACGGGCTATATTTCAAGCTTCTTGGCGATAAAATCAAGCAATATGGTATTGAGAAACAGAATACCTATAATATGGATGAGAAGGGCTTTCTTATCGGCTGCTTGCTTGAACAGTATAGGATCTTCGCCAAGAATGAAATCATACTTGAAAACGTCATGCAGGATGGAAATAGAGAGTGGATTACAGTACTAGCAGCCATCTGCGCCGATGGAAGCAAGCTCTCTCCCACTCTTATATACCAAGCCGTTTCAGGCGATATACAAGACACTTGGCTACAGGATTTCAACCCCAAAGAACACAGCTGCTTCTTCAGATCTTCACCAAATGGATGGACCTCGCATGATATAGGCTACGCCTGGCTTGTTACTGTATTCCAAAGAGAAACAAAGGCCAAGGCAAGGCAAGGAAGAGATTGGCGGCTGCTTATACTCGATGGCCATGGATCTCATGTGACATCACGCTTCATGGACTTCTGCATTGAGAACAGGATCCTCCTGCTTGTATTTCCACCTCATTCGACGCATCAATTGCAGCCATTGGATGTCTCTGTCTTTGCTCCTCTTGCTAAACAGTATGACAACCAATTGGTGAAGTTCCAGCTTAAAAATGAGGGCTATACAAGATTTACAAAGAGGAACTTCTTTAAGGCGTTTTGGGCAGCATGGGAGCTTGCAATGACACCAGAGAATATAGCCTCAGGCTTTAAGAAGACTGGTATACACCCATTTGAACCGGAGGAGGTTTTGAAGCGGATCAGAAGAGGGCATAACAACGATGCTAAGGTGGAAGCTCCTACACCCGAATTTGGTGCAGAAACGTTCCACCAAGCCATGGAGAGGATTCCAAGAGAGGTACCAAGCCAAAACAACCGTGCATTTGTACGCCAGGTGCGTGAGATGGAGGCACGGCTTAAGCTTGTAGAAATACAAAATAAGAGCCTCCATGAGGGGTTCAAGGAGGAGAGGAAGAAGAGGCAGAGGCAACAGCCCCTTTTCAAGGCTCTGGCACGTGCAGAAGATGGATTTGGAGTTGTGTATAGCCCCAACAAGGTGCAGCAGGCACGTGACCTTCAAAAGAAAGAGGAGGAAGAGAAGCAACGTATTTTGAATACCAAGAAGGATGCAAAGCTTCAAAAAGCTATACAAAAAGAGGAAGAAGAGGCAGAGAGGCAGCGGAAGGCATCTCAACGTCGCCAAGAGAAGGTAATACGTGAAAAAATGGCACGTGATGCGAAGAAGGCAAAGGAACAAGCTGATGAGGCAGCTAGGGCTACAAAAGAGGCAGAGAGGCAGCTGCTAGGAGAGAGCCAATCACAAAAGCTATTCACAGCTACATCTACAGCTTCAAAAAAGCGAGATTTGGTTGTGATAGATGATGAGGAGGATGATGATGCACCGGAGCCTTCGGGCCGAGCTACACGTGTACGGAGGCGCCCCAAGGCACTTGACGACTATGAGGTTGTGATAGAGTGAAAGAGCGGGTTCAGTCACCTCCAAGCTCGTAGGCTTGTATAGAGAGTTGTGTTGTATTGATTTTTGGTGATGCGTGCACGAGCCTATCGCGTGCACGAGCCGGTGACCTCTTCTAATGATCTTGGCTAAAGTTGCTTCGGCATGATATTTCATGGTGCGAAAATTATATTTGGTGAAATAAAGCACATTTTTTCATCTTTGAAAAACTATGCTTGTAGTGACAGGTGTACCATCTTGAGGTGTGAGTGTGTGTTACGTTAGTTCGTAACTTAGAGATGTAGTTAATGTTTGTGTGCGAGAGGATTTGTTTCGCAAGGCTGGGGACCAAGGAACCTCGGCAACACGGGCCACAGTGCTGCAGGCGGAGCACTGTGACCCGTGCTGAAATTATCGCCTTAAAGGTATCAAACTGCTCGTTATGCTAGACTCCAGATCCCGAGCACTTCATATGTGACAAATTTCATAGCAGGGACGAGGGTCCTTAACACTGTGATAGGGGGCAAGTTCGAACGGAGGGTGGTCTCGGAGGGACGCAGAGAGCCCATGATTGTTTCATGTCGAATGGGATGTGCATCGGCAGGAGGAACATGAGGGAAGATAAAATTTGCAATCACCGGTATCCGGACATGTCGACGACGTGTACATGCGCGTATGCGGGCGGATAGAGCGGGTTATGTGGGCTCACCGGGCGTAACCAGCTCTTTTTCCCCGTGATGGTCCAGTCGCTCGTTGTCCTGAATAGTTAGTAGCATGCGGAGTCTTCCTATTTTATTCCCGTTGAGTATGTCGTTTGATTTTTCGTACTCTCGAGGGCGTGCATCTTGCAAATACTTTGTCGAGCTTATTTATATCGGTAGCGTCCTTCCCGAGCCGGATGTAGCATGCGACGCTATGGTGAATACTCATGGGCATATTCAGCACCCAGTCGGTCTCTGCATCTATACGGTCGACGTCCTTATCCGTCCGCTGGACTCCGTCCATCCGCTTGCGACATTCCCGTACAAATGGTGCCAGCTTAGCTGCTAGATCTGTGGCGCCGGTTCGGGCCTGCACTTCTTCTACGGTGCGCCAGGTAGATATGTTGATCTTCCGGTCTTTGAGATATTGGGACGAGGCGTGGTCAAAGTCCCACATATATGATCGGTGGGTGTATACATCAATTGCTGCACTTAATCGGACCGTCTGTATCGCATGATCGGAGTCACTAGTAGCTTTCGTCGCCATCCATAGTCGCAATTCGTTTTGTACAATGGAGTCAAAGTACATAGTGTTATACCGTAGCATCTGTAACTCGTGGTCGTCCCGTTTGTTAGTCCGGCGGTAGAATTCTTTCTGCTTCTTGTGCGCTTGTTCGCCGTATCCGGTGTCTGATTGACGAATCGCCCCTAGCCGCTGGATGCTCTCTGGGTAGTGTGTAATGGCAATCAGCACTATTATCAACGGCGCGAGTGCAAAGGTAGAGGTCCCACATGAAGGGGTGGAAGAAGCGGAGACGGTGGCGCTTGCCGGTAAGACCGCCAGTGAACGAGCGGTCATATCCGGGAGAGACTTACCCCACGACAGCCCTCATGCCCTTGGCGTCCTGCTTAAGAGTGTGCCGAAATGAACTCGCAGAGACTCCAATGTGAATATACAAGAGGTGCTTGGAAACGGGGTCCTTGCCACAGGTCACGAGCCAGGCCTTGGCATAGTGCTTGAAATGAGTGTCGATGTACTGGGTGGTGATCCCTTCACAGCAGCGGCAGTCGCATCCAGCAATATAGAGCGCGGTTATCTTGCGGGTCTAGGGCTGTGCCGGTCTGCAGTGACAGAGTTCGCGTTGCTTCCGCCATGATGTAGCAATTCTTCCGGTCGAAGAACGATAGCATACATCGACGTGCGTCTAGTCGAACCGCGCCAAGCTGAGCGAAAGCCGTAAGAGCTTTGTCATCTGAGGGAACAGGACTACTAGAGGTAGTACAAGCTGTCTTCGGGGCATCAGGTGCATCAGGCTTAGTGAATGGAAGCGACGGCGGTCGGCGGCGGTCAGCACCCGTGGGATCAGATGGTTGGTAGTATCTAAAAAGGCATCGTCAGCAACGGAGGGGTCGTGAGGAGCTTCGCAAGGGTCTACCTGTAGAATTCGCGCTCGCGAAAGCCGTCAGAGATCTTCTTCGCCATGCCTGGTCGCGAGGCTAGAGAGAGCCGCATCTCGTCCATGGCGTGCTGCGAGGACGAAAGTACACATAGCTCGAGGCTCTGCAGTGCCCTGGAGGAGATGGAAGCTGCCAGGATGCGCGGCTAGACTTGCAGGTAGTCGAGGGGTAGTGTGATGCAGGTTCGGTCGTTAAGTGGCCGCGTTATGGTGGTTTCAGCGTCGGAGAGGGCGATGACATCAAGGCCAGCAAAAGGCGACGAACGCGACGGCTAGGGAGCTGAACAAAGGGTCTGGAAGGCGTCCCGTCTGTTCTCTTCTGCATGCCAACAGCACCGAATTCCAGTTCCCGCGACAGACCGCCTGTTATTGTCGGTACCAATCATCGACGGTGGCTTGAATTCCCGGCCCAGATCTCCTACCCATATGCAGCTATCGTCTAGCAGGTGCCCACCACGGCAGGGTGCAGTCACCATGTGCCCATCTAGCAGATGTGGGTAACAAGCCGCAAGATCGACGATGGAATTTACGTTCTGGACTGGGAGACCTGGGCTGGGATATCTGAGGACTGGATCGCTTCCTGCTGGGACTTCACGGCAGCATTGAGGTTCGTGACATAGGTCTGGTGGTGCTTGCTGTGATGCAGCTCCATGATCTGGGCCGAGATGTGGGGTTCGAGGGCCTGCGGGGATCAGCAAACCGGGTACTGCCATTTTAGAGGCTGGTGTCTTTACATTGTATGCATACGGGAGCGCCGGGAGGCTGTAGGTAGTAGCAGACATGACGGCGACGGCTTGAGGAGCCTCTGGCGTTCCTGGTGAAATGAAGTTGCCGAGCAGCGAGAGGATGCCGACGGAGGAGTTGAAAGCTTTCATGATGATGGCGCGATGATGCTATTACCAATCTAGAGACTGCGGACCAGCAAGGTGCTCTCAAGCTGCGCGTTCTGTGGTTGGTTGCTGGCGGCCGTCTCGATGGGGCAAACTGCCTGGAAACTGCCTCAATTGCACTCGATCCAACGCTGGCGCTAAGCCCCCGATACCGAGGGTCAAAAAGGATGCAAGAGTGAAATATGGAACTTGAGACGGTGAATTGAGATGAAAGTATCGAGTTTTTTGATGGGATTGGACAGCGATTTGTCTCTACTCTGACGGAAGCACCAGCCTCAGAGGCGGAGGATTGAACGGCGTCTATTGATTTTAACGGTAGTGGGGTTGGACATGGAGCAATTCTAAAGCCAAGCGAGACGAGCAGACACAGCAGCGATTGCTTCTCGATGGTTGCATCTCTTGTTGACGGCTTGTCAGACGGGAAGCTTTGATGTTGAGCCTCTCACCTGGCTCACGTGACTACGACTACGACGACTGGGATTTAGGCCACTATCTCCGACGACTCATCTCGTCACTCCCACGGCTGAGCACGCAAGTCCCTCTTAAACAACATTGTAGGTGTTTCCTTTCTCAGTTCTGTACATATTCCCACATTATGTCTGCTCCGCTAGCCAACGTCGGCATACTGTCCATTGGGAGCATGGGCTTGGGCATAGCCAATTTGCTCCAGGCCCACAACTACCGCGTCTTCACAAACATTGCAAATCGCAGCTCTGCAACCTAAGCGCGCGTATCCTCGGCCTCTATTAGCCTGGTAAACATTGACACAGAGCTCGTCCCACAATGCGACTACATCCTTTCCATAGTCCCTCCTCGAGATGCTGTAGTAACCGCCAGCCGCATCATCAGCGCTCTCAATTCGTCGCCAGCTCCACGACCAACCTCTGGCCACCCCCTCTACTTCCTTGGCCTCAACGCGATTTCGCCTTCTACTGCTCGCGCTATCAATGCTACCTTTGAGTCCCAGACTCCGGCGTTGCGATTTGTAGACGGCGGCATCATCGGCGGCCCGCCCTCGCTTGCCTCAGACTCGACCTGGAAACGTCCTGGCATACCTATCTCTGGCCCCCACGCCCTCACTGCAGCCCCAGTCAACGGCAAGCATCTTGCAGATACGCTGAATACCGAATACGTATCCCCTACAATTGGCTCTGCGTCCGGCTTGAAGTGCTGCTTTGCGTCAATAAACAAGGGCATTGCCGCTCTCGCCCTACAGTCCTTTAGCACAGTATCCTCGCTAGAGGTCCTGCCACACATGCAGAAGTATCTCGAGGAATACAGTCCGGCGGTAGAGTTAGTTGTAGATTCTCTTAGCATTTATAGAGTAGAGCAATATAGTTCTGATAGAGTTGATAATTGCCTGGGCTAGCTATCCTAGCCTAGGAAGATAGGAAGTGTGCCGTCTTGTGTAAGAAAGATGTATACCTGCTAGGCTCGTACGAGACCTATAGAGGTAGCAAAAGGACTTTCCTGCCTCATTCGCCACGAGCGAAATTAGAGGAAGAGAAGAAAGCTTGTCACTTCGTACGACTCCCAGGCACCAGCACCACGACCAGCACCTCCGCCGCGACCGCGACCACGACCACCTTGTCCTCCACCAGGGCCTCCGGTAATTGCTGGAGCGCCACGGCCACGGCCACGGCCGCCTCGAGCAGGCAAGTTCTGATTGTATAGCTGCATCGCATTGCTCGCAGTTGCCTGAGCAGGGGGGGCGTTCGGGTATTGTGCGTGGAATTGGGCGTACGGGATCTGTTGGTTATTAGAGAGAAAGCGGACGCCACAACCAGCAGCCCCATCAGGGAAGATGCAATTGGAGTAGGCATTGTCCATGAATGAATAGAGAGACACGCAACCTAAGCTGGATAGCCGTACGAAGAAGAGAAGGAATAAGGAATACTACCTGCAAAGGTGGAGAATTCTCCTGTAGCGGCATACGCGTGGGCGCAGCGCTCACAAGCGTAGCGGTTGAGGAAACCATGAATGTGTACGAACACGGCCTTGGAGTATGACTGGCGGCTGGAAAGAAGCCTATCGGCCGTGAGAGCTCCAGTACGAACCACTAAGGGAGACTACGGGTGATCATATGGTGATGCATTGACGCCTGTGACTCAGGTTGCAAATTGATGTGAACTCTTTCTTATTTCGGGGGCCCGAAGGCCAAACTATATACTACGTAGGAAGTGACTGTATGCGTAGGCAGAAGCACTAATTAGAGTCAGCAGTAGGCACAGTAGGCAGGGTAGGCCACCGTACCCCAACCCCTCTCTGTAGAAGTTGTAACTGGCTAGGCATGTAGGCAGCTACTATGCCAGCAACTCCAAGTCAAGAGAGCTTCAAGGGCCTGTCTGAATTGCCGACGGAAAAAAGTGAGATATAATGCTAAACCCGGTCAACAATGCACACACTGTAGACTAGACAAAAAGAACTGCACTCTTCCGCACCCCAAAAATAGGAGGTCGGTATCCCACTTTCTTACTAATATCATGTATCAACACGTCGTCTAACTAGTCCTGGGGATTTTAGGAGAAGTCTTACACGCTAAGCCTAGGGCTAGTAGAGAGATGGGGAGAGTGTTAGATTGGAACCGTATTCTAGGAGGCTAGTGGTGCTGGGTTTGTAGGTGTGAAGGGTAAGCTAAGGAGTTAGGGGATAAGGAGCGGTAATAATTTAGGTTAAAGTTGCTTCGGCATGATATCTCATGGTGAGAAAGTTAAGTTTAGTGAAATAAAGCACATTCTTTCATCTTTAAAGAAAGCGTATTGCATTGTTAAATTATAAGGGGCTTTTAATTAGTTTGATATAGACGATAGTGGCTGTTAAATATGCTTGTAGTAACAGGTGTGAGTATGGTTACGTTAGCAGAGATGTAACTTAACTAGTTAGTGTTTGTATGCGAGGATTTATTGCCATCTTGTATAACATAGCGCATCCTTCCTAACTTGTAGCAAGCTTGCTGAAGATTTTTCTTAACCATTTTTCCAATAAGAAACCCTTTCTCATCCATATTTCTACCCCCACGTAAGCCATCCGTGAGGGCTTTCGCCACCACGTCGCGGTCTAGCTCTGCGTGGGAGCTGAGCCTTAAGCGAAGCTGTTAGTCTAGCGTTAGTTTATCCTGACCGCAAGGATTCTATCACGGCGGAGGCACGGCAGACGATAGCTAGGTTGCGAAGAAGCCTCACGCGTGAACTTTTGAAACCTTACGCGTGAAACTTATGAAGCCTGACGCGTAAAAAAAAGATTAACCCTTTGCAGGTTGTCTCCTGCAGCCCGTCTTGTGGGCCTAAGCTTATCGGGAGGAGGCTTTGTATAAGATGGTGCGGCCGTACGTCGAAGAGACACTTGCTTTCTATACTATCAGGCCAGCTCCTCGTGCATATAGCATCTATAGCCCTCTTAATCTCCTATATCCTAACCAAAATCTACCATCAACACCCGATATGTTTCCTAAAGCCATCATCTCCGCCTTTATGGCTATCTTACTGCTGGTGACTCAGTCTGCGAGCTCCCTATATCAGCTCCAACCTCGCTCCAAGGCTCTTGTTTTGGAGATGCCGAACAACACCTTGCCCGGCCCTACGGGTCTAGTTCTCAAGTACATCCTGCTTGGTTTAGGCACTCAAAACTATACATGCGCCACCCCAGGGTCTTCTGCCGCACCAGGCACTACAGGAGCAAAAGGTGAGAATTGAATCTAAGTTAAGTTACTTCATGGCAATAACGCTAATTTTTCACGTGGATAGCTACGCTCTACGATCTAGGCACTAAGCTAAGCACTGATCCTTTCGCCAAATGGAAGATTAATACTATCCCCACACTCGCCCTTAGCCTGTCCTCCTATTCGCCAGTACTTAGTTCCTGGCTCGCGGTATCAGGGTACAGCACTATCCTCGGCAAGCACTTCTTTACCAGCGCTATGGTTCCTACCTTCAGCCTCGACAACGTCCCCCCGCCACCTTTCCCACAAGTTAACGGGAAGAAGAACGGCACGATGACTGCGCCCATCTATTCCTGTCCAGGCACGACTAACGAAGGCGCCGTCCCCTGGCTTAAGTTAATCGACGCTGGCGGCTCTCAGAGTGGAGTCAACACGGTCTATAGGTTGGTAACTGCCGGTGGAAGCGCGCCTGCGACCTGCGAGAATATCCAGACAACAATATTCGAGGTCCCTTACGCGGCTGAGTACTGGATCTACGGTATCCTCACAGCATAAGAAAAGGTATAAATCCTTTTTACCCGCATACATGCCGTTGGAGTATGGGTAAAGGGCCCAGGATGGACTCCATGGAGTGGTAGGTGGTGAAGTCGGTGGGGGGCGGTGAAAGTGTGTTTGCGACGGCTATTGATTGCGCAGGTTACATATTCTAAGCTGAAGGACCAATTCTGAGCATGTTGTATAATCACGTAAGGACGCACGTCGCATCTGGCAGCCACTTCCTCTAACGTGATTCCGGCGTGTGCTAATTGTCTTCCCACAAGACCGTAGCACATTCTCATCTCAACTTCCAATCAAGCCCATTCACAATGCACTCCCGTATGCTGTACCCTAAGCTTAACCGCGATTGCTGCCAGTTCCACCGCTTTGCCACCATGGCAAGACTTCGAGTGGGCCCGACGGTCACCGGCTAGCTCCCCCCCTCTCAGTACCTCTTTCTCGTCGGTTGCCCAATTTGTCTCCACCTCTAAAACCACCTCACCACGCAGTCCTAACATTGCCGCCACTTCGGCAAGCCCACGTGTGGCGTACGCTAGCGCTATTACTAGCCCGCTGGCCCACCACGCAAACACGCAATGGAGCTGTAAAAATTGGTCGCTAGGGAGCGGCCGGCACCACTCCCTGCGGTATGCGGTCTAGTGAGCTAGGAGACTATCCAGCCAAGGAACATGGTGGTAGAGTAATTTCATTGCATTCTTCTCGCTTTATAATGCTCCGCGCCCTATAACTACAATCCATTGTCCGACATAAGTTACTTTAATAGATGGCAGAACTATTAATACGTGCAAGTCTCCACTTAAGAAGTGCAGCCAGAAAAGAGAGCCTGCTAAAACCCGTTCCTTGGTCTCTCCAACCTTTCTTTAACCGCTGGGAGGAACTCCTCATACGTTTTCAACAGCGGGAAGCCATATTCCTTAGCCATGACCTGCACATTTCCTTTGCGCCAGAAGTTCTCCGGGCAGCACACAACTAACTTTCCGCTATCTGCAAAGAGGCCAAGCTCCAGCAAGCTAATAGGGCTCACCGTGTTCTCGTCCAAGTACATTGCAATCACGGTCGCCTTTTTCATCGCTGCCAGTTCCACTTTACTTGCCCACAAAATATAGGGTCGGTGATGTCCGCAATAATGTTTGGGTCCCAGCTCTTACAGCGTGGGTTGAGGACTTTACAGCCGCTTAGCAGAGATGGTCGGTCAAGTTCTTCTGCCATTCAGCGGCTTTGCCCATCTCGATGCTGGATTCTGGCGCGCCGTTGCCGCCTTTGTAGCCGCTCCTTTGTTCTTTGCTTTGATAGAGACTGGGGGCTATATCGCGCATGATAAAGAGGAATAGATGGAGTAAGAAGCAGGCTCAGCGCCAGTCAAACCGCGCCAGCGAGGAGTTAAGGCGGACGTACCTTGAGGTCATCGGTCGCTATGAACCGGAGGATCTGATCTTCCTTGACGAGTCTATATTCAACGAGAAGACTGGCTGGCGCCGGCGACATTATCACTACCTCCGTCCGAACTTTCGCACCTTTGGCGACTTCCTAACGGCTGCAATTGAGCGCAGCCGGTGCGATCGCTTTGCTCGAAAGCAGTTCCGTCACGCGGCTGGAGGCGTGTACTGTGCGAAGGAGGACATAGATAGAATCCGCGCGGAGTTGGAGGCGTACGAAAGGGGCGAGACGGATAATTGGGTTGAGGCTTGAGTATCAGTGCGGGTGAAATTTCGAGTGAAGGTCTATTGTTCTGTTTCTATTGTTGCGCTAGTTTCTTCAGTCGTAGGTATATAACCTCACTTCTCTTTGACTCTCTTCTTCCTTTGGACTCCGTAACTCGCATCTTGTTACCGCCTCCACGCCACCACCATGGACCTCGACCCCTACACCTACTTCATGACCGTCGTCAACAAGATCCTCAACGAACCCGACCCCCCCCCCCCCCCCCCCCCCCCCCCTCCCGACTCTCCGCCGTGGCCTCCTTTCCTTCACTCTGGGGTTCATCCGGATCCTCCTCAAGTAGTAGCGGCTGGGTCGCTCCTTGAGGGGGAGATGATGGATGTTCAAGCCGATGATGAGGAGCCGGACATAGATTCTGGCCCTCGGAGGCTTCGTCCGGTGCCTCGCGAGCCCGTACGCCCTGCGGCTATAGTTGCTAGCAGGGATGTCTTTGACATTCCGGAGTCTGACGACGAGGATGAGGATGATGATAGGCCTGCGCCCCCTCCAGCGTATGTGATTTGTGGTGTTTATATATGTATAGAAGCTGGCTAACATATATCTAGAAAACGTCGCCCTGCCGGCCCGCCCCTTCTGCTTCCTTCTGCTACTAGCCTGCCAACCCCCCTCCAGCACGCCAACGACCTCGCTGCCGCCCTCGCCTCCTCCACCATCGCCACCCTCCTCCGAGAGCGCAGCCGCCGCGCCGAGCTCGCCCACGCGGAGCTCATCGACGGCCTATACGGCCAAGACCAGGCGGGCCTGCCCTGCGGTGCGTGCGTGGAGTGCACGCAGGACATGCCTGCTGGGGGCTGTCGTCGGTATCATGTAGATTTCTATACCAATGACAATCTGGGCGGTAAATGTAGTTCGTGTAGGGTTAGTAGTAGCCAATGCGGCGGGAGAGAGGGTATCGTGGAAGCGGGCCCCTAAGCCCAGGCGTCGTGCCGGACAGCGCGCTAGGCAGTAGTAGAGAGAGAATTCAGATTGTTCAATTGTCCACTTAAGAATTATAACTGTGACTTCTATATATCTTGACTGTGTATATATATTTAACACGCGTATGTGAATATACGCGTTTACACGTGTAATTTGGTTGTCTGTCTAAGTTATATACTTAGTTAGCAGAATATAAAGCTATTGCGAGCTGTCTCCTAGAAATTAGGGGGTTATATACGCGAGGCTTGAGTATCAGCGCAGAGCACGGTATATATTAGATCTAAGGCTTGAGTATCAGTGCAGAGGATGTCAAATATTTTGAGGCTTGAGTATCAGCGCAGAGGGAGGTCGCCTGCGCTGATACTCAAGCCTCAAAATATTCATGTCGACGTCCTCTGCGCTAATACTTAAGCCCCGGGTATTTAACACCCCTCGACTGCACTGATACTCAAGCCTTAGTGCATAGAGGAGATAGACTTTGTTTATTGTATTAAACCCGCTATATAAACACTAAAAAAAGCACTAGCTACCCACTACATATGCGTGTTATTGCCCTGCACCCTGTTCTGTAGCAGAACGAGATCAAACGCCGCCTTATTCTGTCGATATGGCTGCTTAAACTTGTGCAGTTCCTCAGCAAACTTGACGGCTACTCCATCCAAAATACCCAGTTTGCATAGCCGCGCGATGCGCCTCCGAGCTCCTGTTTATCATCTGACGGAGGAAAGTAATATCCCATGCCTGATCTATCACAACCTGAGCCGCATGCTGCCACCGTTGACGCACGCCAGCGTTCTGTATAGTGTTGATTTTCCAATGGAAGAAAGCGTCCAGTGTATCCGCATCCTCTTCCTCTGGATATACAGGACTTGAGCTCCTTGGCCGAGTAGATGCTGTAGTATCCGGGGCTTGCACCGGAGGCACGGGCGGAGGTGGAGGCGGAGGCGTCGGTGCTGGCGCATACGAGAATGGTTGATACCCAGCAGGAAGATACGGGTTTGGTTGGTAGTACGGCGGCAGAGGAGGAGGAGGGTAGACTGCTGCTGAGGCTGCTGGATATTCGAGATTTTATCTGCCATAGCCATCATCTGCTGCGTGCTAGAAAACTCCACCGTCTGCTTCATCATCGCCTTAATGTCGTCCATAGTACTCGTCGCCTGCTGCGCTCTTGCTGTCTTGGCCGTTCGACGATACATCGCGCCCACAGGCCCGTCCTTTTGGAGTTCCTTCAGCAGCTTCATTGGAGGCACTAAGACGGTAGCCTCACCGCGAGCTATAGCATTGGCCCATACCTCCTGTTGCTTGGTGAGGAGAACATAATGCTCGCCGCCGTCGAGAAAGCAGTAGCTGTTAAGATTGGTACACCCCTGGTCCGTACACTTCCAATGCCGCATTAGATCCAGGTGCTTGAGGCTGCCGTCCGTAATCCTATCCAGCGCAGCCTCGTGCTGTTGCAACAGCTTCCCGCTGCGACTCCTTGGTGTAGTCGCCGGCAAGGACTCAACTGCCGCCTGCTTCTTTGCTAAGGATGGCGATGGATCGCAGACCATCTTGTATTCGAACAGCAGCGCCATAGAAACCTTTGGAAAGGCGGCCTGCTTTGCGTCAAGCGCGTTCAGCAACACATTTAAAGAGGATACAGAGAAATCGTCCATATCATGCGTCTGTACACCACCTCGGCCGGTCGCCGTACGCAGTACAGCAGTACGATTTGTAACTGTATATTCCGGCTGACAGAGCCCATCAGCCTGCGCTTTTCCAACCAGCTCATCGAGCTCCGGCTCCACATCGTCACCCGAAAGGTCAAATCGCGACTTTAAACCCGACACCTTGCTGCCCACCTTCTTCTTGTTGACGTTACAGAGACGGCAGACACGTCATGCGAGGCGGAGCATCCTGAGACCATGAGGGCGACACTAATGCACATGCGAGTAAATGGCCAGGTCGTCATGGAGAGATCCAGTCTGAGAAGTGGAACAAAGGGAAAAGGAGAAGCGTCTTGCTCATGACAATTCATTGCGGGCAGCCCAGAAGTGCGTTGTCCAGCGGCAGCGTGTGCGAAAACTGAGATGACTAGCCTATACGAGAGGGGAATGGCTGCGAGGACAGAGTAACGAAGGGGAAATCGGGTGCCTTGGCCGGCCGGTCCAACGACGGAGAGGGCGGGCTAGGTTTTCGACAAATGCCTCATGAAGGGTGATGAGCTGGGGGCGGGCGGCGAAGACGGGCTGTGCAAATGGGATGGGCCGATAAGAGTAGAGAGAATAGGATGAGGGGAGGGAGGGAAAATGACGGCGAAGGGGGGGCCTTTTATGGTAGCCGTCGAGGTCGATTACCGGGTCGGGCGTAGCGCAAAAACCGTAAGCGAGGGCGCGGATTGCCTGAACGGGGTGCATCCATTTCCTAATGCAGGCTTGCCGTCTCATTCTTTACTATTAAGGGAGACTATCTTAATAACTAAGTGTCACGATAATGCTACAAGCAGAGGTACAAGGCTCAGATAGGAGCATCAATTAGGTGCTATGTACAGTATTACGTGGAGGTTCAAGACATTGTGTAAAGAACAGGAAATTAGGAGCGCCGGCGAAGAAGATATACCGGCGGGACGTGCGTATGGCGCGAGCTCACGAGCTCCGTGCGAGATCAGGTGACGAAGCCACGTAATAGGCGAATTGTGGTGGGTAAGGTGTTGCGGGTAGTTACCGTAACACTAAGTACCTTTTTAAGATTGCTTATAGAATCTTATTATACTTGTTATTAGTAGATATAGTAATTATAGGTCCCCTAAGGGGGTAACCCTTATACTACTCTCTAAGGAAGATCTTCTATATAGCTAACTCTTGTAGTATTATCCCCTTAAAGTCAACCTTATTAATATTAATAAGTAGATTCTTTATCCTAGTTTTCTAAAGACTATTAGAAATCTTTCCTAAGTAATTTAGGTCTAACTAATCCCTATTAAGCTTGTACATGTAGAGGTGTAGGTTAAAAGAAAAATTGTTAATAGATATATTACTATAGTTAAATTCTAGCTTGCGGCAGCCAATTACTTCCTTAAGCTAATGCGCGCGGTGGCCCTTTCTAGTACCTAAGGGACCCAGAAGCAAAAGTCTAAGAAGGCAGGGGGCGTTGTCTCTAAGGACCGAGCAAGCAAGGGCGATGCACATAATTATTACGAACAACTCACCACTTTCGCCCTGGCCCGCCGGAGTGCTGAAGTATCAATGAAGCAAAATGGTATCGACGGACTTGCAGAGGTCGTCGTAATGTCTTGGTTAAGAGATCAGGAATAATTGACGGAAGAGCGTATAAAGCCTTACGTGTTCGACATTGTTGGGAAACCCGCCGGCCGTCCCTCTTTCGATTATCTGGTCACGGTTTTGGCCAACCAGATAGTCCACAGTCTGCACATGAGTAACCCTCAGAGCGATGCTGCAAATCGTGGCGCTGACTATCCACACAACCACATGGGCGAAGAGGATGAGGACGAGGATGCAGACGAAGACACAACGGAATATAAGCCTCGTGCTATGGCTCAAGATCCGAGGTTCAACAAAGGCGATATGCGCTTCCGCAAACGAAAGCGTGTACCGTGGTTGGAGTCGGACGACCTGCGGTTACTCGCGTACAGGAACGATATGGCCATGGACTGGAAGAGTATATTCAAACTCTTCCCAGATCGGACCCCAGGCGCAGTACAGATGCGTTCGCACATGCTGCAAAGGAAATCCCCCGTTTCGAGAGTGAAGAGAGATAAGTCCGGCTCTCCCATTACTCCCGCCCCCCCTCCTTAAACCAATGCCCAAGGTCTACCTGTACAAGGGGTAGAAGGGGCCCCACCACGAGCGCCCCAAGTCAAAGCCTTTAATACTCCCGAACTCCTACACTGGGAGGACCTGAAAGTCAGGAGAGTGAGTCGCTCAAAGCATCGATTGCCCGTATCTTCAGGAACGCTCTGCCTCTTGGACAGCGTTTATCTCACGAGACCACTCCGAGGACCTGTAACGTACGCTTCGTTGAGGAAATTTCGAGGTGAAAAGTCAAGACCGGCCCTCCCATTACCCTGAACCCGCAAAGGAATTCCAGTGCCCTATACTACTTCCGGCCAGCCGTCTGGCAAGGACAACCAGGTAACGGCAAGCGGGCACTTCTCACTACGCGTTCCCTACCACGAGCGCGCCCAAGTCAAAGCCTTTAACACCACCGAACTCCAACACTAGAAGGACCTGAAAGTCAGGAGAGTGAGTCGCTCAACGTATCGATTGCCTGTACCTTCAGGAACGCTCTGCCTCTTGAACAGCGTTAGTCTTACAAGACCACTCCGGAGACCTGTAACGTACGCTTCGCTGAGGAGATTTCGAGGTGGAAAGAGTTACGACTGGCTCTCCTATGCCTCAGCAGGAGGCCGCCGGCCATCCCTCTTCGTAAATTCTTTCCAAGGCCGAGCTTTCCCAGTTGACGGCTCTGATACAACTTCAGACCAAGGTTCCAGTCTTCGCATCCATTACATCTATTGCTCCCGTCGTGTATACCACACCACCCTTCCATACCTTGATCTCCTTTGGACGATGCTGTGCCCGTACATTTTCATACTGGAGAGTACGATACAAACATCGAATGTATAGTGGGATATCTCGTGCTCGGCAAAGTCTGCCTGCGTCACCGCTGGGTATACAACCCTGTCGCCCGTCATCTTCTTTGTAGGGCCGGGAGATCAGCCCGAGATCTTCGAGCTAGCCTTCGAGCTGACTCTGGAGCTGGCGGTTGTTTAAGACTGAGTGCCAGAAACGGGATCCACAGTGGGCACCAGAACGGGACCCTTCAAAACTTGGGCACAGCCGCACCTCATATCCGATACCTGCAGAATCCCGGCTCGGCTCTGGCACTGGGAGTAACTCTCAAAGCGCCCAATTACTACAGCTGGGCGTGTTAGTTTTTCAGATGGAGGGATCTTGATTATCGTTGGGGTGCTCATTCTCATTCTCGTCTTTGGTGCAAGCCGATGAGGCTGAGCTAAATCGGCTGCGGGCTTGTGAAGCTTGGGCGCCAAGCAGACTTGCGAGCTCAGCTCTCGCAAGTCCCTCCGCGCTTGCTTTGATTGCAACTCCTCATTTCATTGCAGGTGGGACGCACATGTCGTCGGTTGACTCGATGGGGATGGTCGCGAACGTAGAGTTGCGCGAGCGATTGGATCCGGTCTGGCTGGCTCCTGGTTCTGGGCATGATCACAGCAACAGGTGGTCGCACTACTACTGCTCGACCACGAAGAAGCTGAGGTCAACTCGCGACGCCGTAGTTCAAATCCCCACAACGGTCCGCACAGTCCAGCAGCCCCGACGATCTTATCTAGCCTCTTTCAATGCCGCCTGGAGCAGCACGACAATATTATTACGGCCTCCTCGCGATGCCGCCTGGAGCGCGTTGCTGTACCTCCTCCTGTATCGGAACACTAGAAGTTAATGGGCATGGTAGTCGATGGAAGATAGATGTTGAGCAGATTGTCTCCGTTAATGTCACGCAATAGGTCGACCCATAGGGCAGTAGGCTGAGGATTAAGGGAGACGAGTTGTAATGATAATAGATTAGAATTTCCCTTGTTCGAACCGCCACCCCCCGACGCAATCGGGCGTGCGATCCTCGGAACGCAAAGTCAAGTGCGACCATGATAATGTCTTATGCAGCGAATGCGCATGTAACCGCGACGTTAAAGGAACGATGAGAGAAAACGGAAGAGCTGCTGCTGCCCAATCTCCAGCCAATTCAAGTACCTGAGCGGGTGCCTGCAGGACCCGTTGATACGCCCTTGAATTAGAGCTTATTTAATTCGCTGGCCAAATCTATACGCACGTGTGAGAAAAGAGTTTGCCTAAATGGGTCACTAACACATGCCTCTCACTTTTCCTTTGAATGTTCCATACGTCTTAGCTTGAGTGAACGGAAGCTCAAAGTCTCCAGCCACAACGGCCGTTCCAGTAATCAACCCTCCACCTTCGGCCCAATAGAGAGCCATCGTCGAAAGGTTTAGTTGGCCTTCAGGGGCAACGATTTGGACAAAGGCGAGCCCATTGTGCTCAAGTAAGCGATCGGAGATGGTTGGAGTGAAGATGGTTGGAGTGTAGGTGGTTGGAGTGGAGATGGTTGGAGTTGGAGTGGATTTTTCGAGGAAGAATTGAATAGTACTCATTTGAAAGCTTATGGCGCCCTCGTCATATTCTCGTGGTATCACATCCCGCTTAAAGATTTCATAATGAACGTTGTTCATGATAGTCTTGCAGATAGATAGACTCATTCTGTTCATTTGACTTCGGATAATAGAATGGAGAACGCTAAAGAATGGAATGGACTTTATATAGGATCGGGCAAATGTTATTACAGCAGGGCACTGTTCATCCACATCCTAATCAGCTCACCTAAATCGTTCAAAGACCGTCAAACGCCATGGAAGGCATGTGGACCACTGTGCTGCGCGCGAACCGTCGGATGACTTGTCGGAATCGGGGTCATCAAATGGCATGAAATAGGAGAGGGCGGCATGAGTATACCTACGGAGAATAAGGTGTCAGCGGCCTATTGCATTACAAAGCGGTTAGAATATGACTTGCATGGCTGCTTGCCTCCAATGTGCTCGAAGCATCGGCGGACAGAGCAACGATCCTACCAGGACCAAAAGAGAGTCAACTTGCAGGGTGGTAGCACGGCCATCGTGATGAGGCTTGTAAGGGCGCCAAGACTATTGCGCCACGAGGATTCGGGCCTCTGTGGCTGCCCGCATCGTGCCTCCGCACTAGCCGGCACAACCGCGGAACGTCGGGCGAATGCCTCTGCCTTGTGCAACAGCTTGCCCAAATACACCACAAAGCCCACCGACCCCCGCTACATACCGCATGATAATAAACTTTCTTTGCATAGGTTTCACGTGTCCAAGGAAGGGCACGAGACGTTCGATGAGCCTCTGCGCACGTCACATGGTAGACTTGGCTTAACCCCACCAATTCAAACAACTCGCCGAAACGACCAGCCAGCTGGCAACGACACATCTTGCATTCGGCCCCGTCAAAAAAGCATGTTTGGCTTGAATACCCCCTACACGAAGAACAAAGCTAACAAATTCCTTTGTTGTCGCAGTGACCTAAGCGTTCCCAGAGAATCACACCCTTTTACGACCTTCAAACTCAAATTCCTCCGATGCCGAAACATCTAGAGATATTGGTGCTCAGCAAAGAGGCTCAAGACATGATAATAAACCTGGATTTATGGCTTGCAGAAAATGAACAATACAAGCCGGCCGATTCGATGAAATACTTTAACGAGTGTGTTAGTGAAGGGGTGGAACATAAAATTATCCCTTTAGGTGATGAGGTAGCCAAGGGAATTGCAATAGTGCGGGATAATCCCATTAGTGAACTGTCGAGATCCTAAAATCTGGTGCTAATAATCCAGCAGGCACAAAAGCGCACCGGCCTAGCAACACCAAGGAATCCTATCGAAGGAGCATGGGTAGCTGGCGAGCATGAGCAGTTGCTCGTTTGTACTAGGGTTCTGGACGGATCTCCATCCCCTTATGTTTCGGACGGGAACACGTCTATATCTTTCCCTCGCGGAACGGTAGTCTACCGTGCACCCAACAAGTATGCGTTTGTTAGCGGCGGCGTTGTCTTTGTACACACACACTGGCCCGCTAAGTAGGTTGGAAATTGCAAGATTAAAGCGGTCCTCTGGTAGGACTTTGTGAAGACCGAGTCGTTCAACCACGTGGGCTAAAGGCGTTGTCTACTGACGGGAACCCGTGTGAATCAGACTAGTCCATTTATAGACAGCCGCGTGAATCAGAGTAGTCCATGGGTAGAGAGCCGCGTGAATCAGAGTAGTCCATTGGTTGACAACCGTGTGAATCAACGTAGTCCATTGGTAGACAACCGCGTGAGTCAGAGTAGTCCATTGGTTGACAGCCGTGTGAATCAAAGAGGTCCATTGGTTGACAACCGTGTGAATCAAAGAGGTCCATTGGTAGACAACCGTGTGAATTAAAGAGGTCCATTGGTAGACAACCATGTGAATCAAAGAGGTCCATTGGTAGATTGTCTTGTCTGACAGGTAATGTTTGTTGCGGTGGACCGAAACTCGCCAGCTGTCCTGGACTAGTACTTAGCAATTGTGCAATTCAATGAAGTGTGGGAAGTACCTTGTTCATGTGCGGTTTGGGTATAGGGCACATCAGCGGAAATCTGACCCCCAGTCTGCTGAAATGCAACTTCTTCCGTGTTAGTATCCTTTTTAACAGCGCCGTTGTCAACTCACAAGGTATAGTGTCTCCTACTGCTTGGCCCGTTAGGCATATTTGACCACCAACATCCGCTTGGGCGCACTGCCGCATACCATCCGCTCCATATGCGGAGCTCGATTGAGGGCCATGTACATCCGCATTTAGCCCATCTTGTCCTATAATTGCGCTTCCTAGGTCGTTGGGAAGCATTTGCAGTGTTTGTTGCGTTGAATTGGAATTCGCCGGCTGCTGTCTCCGCAAGGATTGGTTGTGGAGTGTGATCTGCCCTGCTAGCCTCGGATTCTCCTTGTGCCCTATGCAGGTATTTAGTCGTCGTTCAGTTCAACCAGATAGAGAGAAATCACCTTTTTGACATGATTCAATTTCAAATTGGGGCATTGCATTGGGGACGTGGGCCTTACCCTGCTGGGGTACATCTCCTGGATGTAAGTATCAGTTTTTACATGGCGTTATCAGCAGCACTCACCATGCGACATGTCCCCTATTTCCCGATTCAGTGGAGTGGCGTAGGGCTGAGATCTTGAAGGCTGATCGTCTTCATTCCTCGTGTTGCCATTGCGGTGCATAATAGGGCTCCCGCCGGCGGGAGCTGCTGATTCAGTAACACCGGAGCAATTCCCGCGCGGTGGTGAATTAGGAGGAGCTATTCCGTTCTGCTGCTGATTTGGTGTGGGTGCGTCAACGTCGCTGTCTTCAGCGTGTGGTCCCTCATGTTCTCTCGACGCCGTCTCTTCAATTTCCTGTACAGGAATTTGAATAGCTAAGAAAAATTATCCCTAGTTTAGTTTCTGTACTGCCCTTGTCCGGGAAGAGGAAAGCTTACATTTTGGTGTGATCTTGCACAGAAAACTCTGGAAAAAATGGGCGTTACTTGAAATAGTGCTAAACTTACAGTCCAAGGCCCTGCATATTTGTTTCAACCTAAGTTCGTTAACCAAATACTACTCTTCATTTAATGTTACCGGGTTACTAACGAAAAGGCATCGCCAACCACCAATTTCGCCATAGAAAGAATACAAAACGGCATCCGTGATTTAGGCAATATTTTTTTGTATGGTCTCAAACCACTTGTGAAAGCTTTGGAACTCTCTCGACTACTTGAAAAAGTCCCGTATTGAGATATTGTTACGCCGCCTAGCTATGTTAGCAATGCTTCTATTCCAAGAGCAAAGGAAATAATATACTTATGAGCAAAGCTTCCCAAATGTCGTTGTCCCAGCCTCCTGTTTCCATCAAATCCGTCGCGTTCCGGACTGCCCAACCAGCACCAAGGCGAAGGCGATAAAAATAATCAGATTTGTGTTTACCGAACCTTTTTGTCATGACGGAGTCAATTCTGTCCTTTGGAAAGTTGTAAAATTCCAACACGCGGCCGACCGTCGCAAGTATAAGATCCGTGCAACGACCGAATTGCGTATGCAGCTCTCCATTCTCTCCAACCCAACTCGTGGCATCAACGTAACCTTCCAAGCGTCTGAGTGTCAACTCTTTTTCGTCGTCCGGGGGACCGCCTGTTGAGGCTGTTGAGACTGTTGGGCGAGTGTCGCCATCATGACGAGTAACGAGGAAGGTTAATGAGGCTTCTCTGCAACCATTGACGAGGGTAGCTATCACGAGATTCGGTGCAAAAGAGTCAAACCCAAGGCGCTCCCATTTGGCTTGCCAATTGGCAATTTCTTTGATAAAAATGTCGAGTTCAGTCTCACGCCGAGTTTTACGTCCGCGTTGGTCTTCGTGATCTCGTTTGGGTTGCTTGGTGGGAGGGGTATATTGAAACCACGTTGCGTTTGACGGTGATTGGAGCTGAGGTTGGTGGGACGGAGAGTGAGGTTGGTAAGGCAAAGAGGTAGGCTGATGAGGTGGAGGAGGTTGGTAAGGCAGAGAGGTAGGCTGATGAGGCGGAGGAGGTTGGTGAGGTAAAGAGTTGGGCTGATGAGGTGGAGAGCGAAGCTGGTAAGGCAAAGAGGTAGGTTGATGATGTGGAGGAGGCAAAGAGATACATTGGTGAGGCAAAGAGGTAGGCTGATGAGGCGGAATGACCGATTGGCGTAGTTGATACGGAAAGCCAAAAAAATAGCGCAGAAGTGTAACAAGATGTTGCTCAAGGTAATCAGTATACTGAGCATCATCTCCTTTGAAATCAAACAACCTGTGTCCTATACCCATCATTAATGCGTTGATACGGTAGGTTGAGTAGCATGGGAACGTGTGTTGTTGTGCTGCCGCTATACGCGCTATGCCGGACTGGGAGTGCGACATGTCGCACTCCCAGTCCGGCATAGCGCCGATAAACCAAAACTTTGCGGAACGCCACTTCAATCTCCCCGCCCCATGATGAAGCCCTTCGGATGTGGTGCCGCCCGCAAGTTCATGTGAGCATCGGTCAGATTTACGCATCCCGGACTTGAAAGATCGTCTGCCGGCAATGCCATGAATCCCGGCACCTTCTCCCGCACCTTATCCTGCCCTTACTCTCGATAAGTGACCCGCAAGCGACGCGGGAGGGCGGTCGGTATGGTCGGATATGCTGCCGCTCATATGTTGGTAGGGATTGACGTGAAAGATTGTCAACCACTTCAACCTCTTGATGATTATTATATGCCGTGACGGGCATGTTGTCTACGAAGAGCCAGGACCTGGATGTGCGGCGCGGAGAGGACCGACATGAATATAGAGCTGGTTACGCCCAGGTTGGCTGAGGATGCACTTCATCTCTTCACCGCTTTTCGCTGAGCCTGCATGCGCGTTTGCCTTCTCGTTACCTGAGTTACATCTCCTCTTCACCGCTCTTCGCTGAGCCTGCGTGTGCACATTCCTGTTGCAGATTTTCTCCCGGCTATTACATCTACTGGGGTGCAAATTTCAAGCCTTGCGAAAGTACGAGCTGGAATTTATTCCACTTTGGGAGCATCTGTTTGTGTTGTTGATAGGCTTCTCCTATCCAACCCTGCTCGTTTTGGTTTGGCTATTTCAGTGCGATGAAGGCCTCACGGGAGATACAACGCGAGGTCTAATAGATATCGCGTTGCAGTGCCTGGTCTTGTTAGATGTAAGAAATCATTCCAACATCTATACACACATGCTCACCGGTTCTCAAGTACCTGCTTCTCTCTCAACCTATGCACATTCTTCGCGGTAAAGTTCTCGTCGCTGTGGTTTTAATTTTAACTGGTACGATGCTACCAATGATATTTTTCACGATACTGTAAGTGGACTACTGAAGAATTACATCTTAAGCTCATCTTTTATAGACACCGGCAGTATTCATTGTATGCAACCTACTCGATACTTCTATTCAACGGCATCTTCCCGATATTCCTTTTTGGGTGTATCTTCTCATCAACAAACACCTTGATTGAGGGCGTCGAGGATAACGAGCCAAGGAAATATCCGCGAATCTGGGCGATCGAATATTATGGCTTCTTGGGGCTTCGATTTGTCCTTGGATGGACTTTCGCCTTTGTAATGATCTATAAGACGAGAGGGAAAGTTCCGTTTTATTTGGTGAGTCTTGAACATACCTCTATATTAGCTTGCTGACCTATATAGTACTATCTCTGTGTAATGGCTTGTGGTCCACTCTTACTCCCAGTTCTTAAAGTCGCTGCTTTGATATTCCCCAGTTATTTCGACCCAATTATCCAATTAGACGATAGATCGACGACTACGCTCACACGACCAACCTTCCAAGGATCAGTGGAGCCAGTGTAGCTCGAGCGCGCGAGGGCTGAGGCTTATTTACGTATGGGGTAGTATCTTTGCAGTCCCCTGGAACATGTTAGTCGACGATGGAACAACCTTGGTGTCTCACTCTTTACCGCAGTTCTCGTCAAGCCGGTACTCTCTGTGTATTAGTTAGAAGGGAAACCAGAATATGATCAAGATATCTTTACATTGCAATAACATTGGCTGGACAGCGCTTGTGCGTCTCCTGATACTTGGTGCACCATGCTCGTACAGTATAGCGGAGGTGCGTGCATTTGTAGTGAACCACTCAGGTTGAAATTGATGTGAACTCTGATTTCTATAGACGTCTAGCTAGTTGT